CAGTATTAGTACCGGCACCAGATTGGTTACCTCATTTTTCTGGGCATTTTAAAAACTTTTGTACATAGGTTTATAATTCTTAATAAACCTGGTTTGCTCGGGGAAAAGTTGTCACAGTAACTTATTAAAACATCTAAAATTTCGTGATCTCTTGTTCTTTTATTCACTGAAGGAGAAATAAAACAGATTTGTTCCTGCTAGTACAGGGGAATGAGGTTGGATGTGCCATTCCCCCTTTTCCCCTGTTTGCACACCATATAATATAATCCCAGTGTTCAATTTAACCACATTCCTTGTCTAGTTTGTGTTATCGTTTGGAATAAAAGTAAAGTACAGCCCCCCCCCTCCCCCTTAACCACCAATATCGAAGCGCTTGACCTAGTGCGCAGCATCTGGGTCACTCGTTGAGCCTCCTCAGTGAGTTGTTGATAGTTACAGTTACACTGTTGTGACTTCCAGGAACATGAAACAGCAAGCTGTAATCCTCGTGTTTCGAAAAAAAAGGAAAGGAGGGTGGTTGGGGATGGGGGTGGGGTGAATGTGGGGTGGGTTGGTGGTGGGGGGAGGGTGTACTTTTATTGTACCAGTTTAAGTGGAAGGAAAGTCAGTAGCCCGCTCATTATTGATTGCTCTGTCCTTGTTTAGATTTTGAATTGCATTGTAATTTATTGTAGTGTTGACATGGCAGTTTATTTATTGAAGATGTGCTGTGTTGAAATGTCCGTATTTTATCAAAGAGTCTGTCTAAGATAGGTCACTCTCTCCACCATTTCTGCACTCTGAAATCGAAGAAACCACTGGTTTTAATGAGAACGTTTTGTTCCATTTCTCCAATAGAATTTAATGCTGCTGTTGGAATTTTGAAAAAATCTTTGTTTATATTAATAAAGGCAGGAGTGGCCCATCTTAAGGCACACTCTTTGGTATTATCACGCCGAGAAAAAAAATAAAACGATTATAGAAACTACATAAGTGTTCCTCGTTTTTGTCATTGTTCTTTTGAGTCTTATAAAGTTATGAAGCTTCTCAAATTAGACCCCCCCCGGCGGTGCTACTGACTGAAGTGTCTGTTTAGGCCATTCCCAAAGGGGAGACATTAATCTGTTCTTATGCACAGTATAATTGCAAATGGGCTGATTCATCAATGTCATGCTCATAACTGTGCCTGAACTGCAACAGGGAACTGCTGCTTTTTCTTTCCTAATCCTTACTATCGTCATTTTTCCTCTACTTCTTTTTTATGT